CCGGTGTTCCTTCTCTATGACTTCAAGGAAGGCTTCTCCGCTCTCAAGTTCATGGACGGATTCAAACTTGGGACCAAAGCTGAGGCGCTCGTGCATTTCCTGCATGCACTGTTTCCTGTAGCGTTTTAGGCAGCGTTCGTCCTCCTCTTGGATCAACTCGTACTCCTGAACGCTCATCTACAGGTGAGAAAACATGTTACTGCTGCACTTGTTTTTACACTTGCATGCCTCTCTGTGTCGTTACTATGATTATATTGTTCCAGATGTTTCCGTTCACCTTTCTGTTGAGTCTCTCCTTGTCATCATCTCGAGGACTGGACATTTGTCTGAGCAGCTCTCTCTTCTTCTGAGGGACAGTCTGATCCACACTGTCCAACTTAAACCTTCGCCAGTCATTAATGACACCTTTGGGACCTGCAGACACACAAAGAAGTGTAACAAAGCAACGTGTTTTCATGAGTCAAAACGCCACGAGTCGGCGACCATGAGTCAAAACAGCATCGAAGGCAATAACAGCGAATCCACGAGTTTTGCATCCAGCTGTAATAGACGATCGTGTGACGTCGCTGACCTGTGTGATTGGCGGGCACGTCGTCCTCGTCCTGAGTGGTGGCAGACATCCTGCAGCCTGCGACACACAGAGTAGATAACAGTGTTTTCTTTAGCTTCAATAAGCTTGTGTCATTTTGGCTTGATGTCACAACTAATCAACATCGTGACAGCTCCAAATCTGAATATCTGCAGCATGATTCATGCATTTAAGCACAGTTGTCACAAACATTTAGTTTAAACTAGGCTGAAGTTTACTTATCAGATTAAGATGAGATTACCACGAGTCACACTTAGGACAGCTTATATGTGTGAGTGAGATATGACATCATTTGTGAGCTAAAACCAAAAGAATTTAACAAAAGCTAAACAAGACAATGAAGTTTTATTTTATTTATTATTTATAATAAATATTATTTAGATATTTATTTTATTGGTATGAAAATCCTCTGTGACCGTTTTTACAATGGTAACATTGTAACTGATTAAAAAGAAGCTGATGGACTCATGATTGTGTTATTTATCTGTTTTATGGATCATTACTCTTTTTTGTATGCTTGTCAAACACACAGAAACGTTGGAGTTCTGTCTGTTCCCAGTCCAAAGCCATTTGTTACATTACATAACTTCTAATGAACAACACGATGTCTTTGTTTTAGTAACACATTCTCGTATCTGCACCAAGCTGACAGCAACGTTTAAGCTAAACAGAAAAATGACGTGGCTACATTGATGTTGCTGGGTGGGAGGAGCTTCACTGTCACAATCTTACACCTGCTTGTAAAAAAATATAAAACACTGCATATCATTGCTCTAATTTTTATTTTATTTTGCCTCCCACATGAACTGAGACCAGGCAATTGTGCATAAAAAGACGTGCTGGAAAATGTTGTATTTATTTCTTTATTTGCTATGCATCCGTCTGATTAGCAACTGCGATCGCTAAATATCACAGATATATTGCTTTCATACACCAGTACGTGCCACACTGAAAGCTGCTGAGACAGCTGGGCGGTCGATGACAGCAAAGCTACGTCAGTCATATAACTGATGAAGCCCGTCAGGCTGAGGCAGCTAATTCGTTCAGGTTGTCAAAGCTTTCATTTCTTCCTTCACTGGTTTTGATGAACATTCGGTTAAAGAGGTGAACTTTAACTGTAGAGGGCGATGCTTTTTAACATGACATGGCTTGAAAAGTCAGTCAGTAAGAAAACATATAAGGATTGATTTAAGAAAATGAAGAAATGCAGAAGCACACATAAACAGATTTATATGCAACATGTTTGTGGAACACCAAACCAACACAAAGTAACTGAGTGTTAACCACATCTGCAGAACAATGACATTACTGTGTGTGTCAAAGGCTACACTTACACCAGCAGCATTAACAATAACGGTTTTCAATGCAAAAATAAATATTTGCACCAATGCATGCTTTCTAAAGAAAGAAATGACCAGCTCTTACCTTTGTCCGGTGAATAAGAACTGGTTCTAAAAGCCAGTCAGTCAATGTTGTGATTCACTGGTAGTGTGAGATCTGGCTGAGAGCGGGGAGCTTACAAAGGGCGGAGCTAGAGCAGAGGGAATAAGCTTAATCTTCACAGTCGTCATAATCGCTGTCACCATAATGTTGTGTTGTTTAATATGATTAGGTGCAATACCTGCCTCAGTGTTATGGACTGAGGAGGCCGAAGTGGACACAGCGTTTTTACATGTTTTACTTATGGAAAACAAAACAAGTTAAAGTTGTCGTCTGTTGCTTTGGTTACTTTTGAGAAAAAGAAAAAAAAAAAGAGTGAAATATGGTCCTTATCTAGACAATGAGTTCATTTCTTCAGTTTACTTTTTATGGTTTGTTTTGGACATCGCAATTTAACTGTGGCAGTGTGTGCTCTGCTTATGTTTTATCGTAGTATCTACAAGCCTGCAACACAAAATGTT